GGGTGGAGGGATGGCACCGGAGGGGAAGACCCTGTATGAGGTGGATTAATTCAGTGACTGGGGTAATCGGAATGGGTGTGTCAGAGGCAGTGCGATTGGCACAGGATAGAGCAGGGTTTAGGGCTGTTGTACATAGGGTGCTATGAGTCACAAGCGACTCAACAGCACATAGCAGCAACAACATCTACCCAGCTACTTATTTGACAACTCCTACTTGAATGTCAATTACTATAAAAAGACTAAGGGCCATGTGGGGATAACTGAATATGATTTTTGCAGACTTCACAAAGTGAAATTATCCTTGTCAACAGCAACAACACAAAACCCGTTCTCATGAGGTCAGATATATCATCCATGCATACATACTTCTTTCTACTCCTTGAATAACCAATCATATTGTTTACTGGGTCCATAATCCAGTACAAAAGCTCAAAGACCACAGAACCATATTGGGAAAGTCAAAACGTTATAATACAGATTACAAAATATAGCCAGGAAAGCTTTTCCAAAGGTGCTGGCAAGGACCTCAGCCTTGAACCTCATGGCTTTTGGTCAGTGTTACAAAGTTCTTATTCCTTACGGTTTGGGCTCTCCCATCACATTTCTACCAGGATGATGTCCAAGAAACTGGAGCAAAGGCTTTTAACTTAGCTCTCATTCTGTCCTTGGGAAGTAATAGTTCCAAGTTAGGTCTCTGATTCTTTGTTGTAACTGCTAAGGCTGTTGCTCTGGTCCTGAAGGACTAGTTGCATTCTCTTGCTTGTTCTTCTGTGCTGGCAGTGAAATTTCTCTTAAGTCTGCTGCTGGATCCACTCAATTTAATGGTGGAACTAACCAATCCTCTTGTGGATAGATTAACATGTTCTATTTGCATATTCCTGCCCATCCATATGGCAAAGCCAAGCGGTGGCTAGGAAAGCCACAAAACCTTAACTCCACAATTACATATCACATACTTGAAAAGATCCAGAAGATAGCTTAAATTTTACCACACAAATTTACTCCTTTCTGGTAATATTTGTGTCAGCTAATGAGATTGCAATGTACCCCTGGAATCATATAAAACATTACAAAACTGTCTTTATCACAGTGAATCCTTTTCACAGGATTGATTCTTAAGTGATAATGAACCAGATATATGTTAAAAATAAAATTGTAATTTGGTAACTTTTTTCTTTCTTTTTAATAAATTTCAATGAACATCTACAGAGAATTTGGACTTCCATTCATTCATAAATTTTTAGTAATTCTGTTGACAAAGACCCTGAATGAGATGAATTGACACAGTGACTGTGCAATGGGGTCAGGTTGGTCAAAGTTATTGAAGATGGTGACACTATATTGTCTGAGGGCAAGGTTCTAAGCCATTGTTCTTAGGGTTGCTATGACAGAGAACTACCAGAAATACAAGCTGGGTTTAGAAGAGTTCCATTGACTACAGACATTATCGCCAATGTCAGATGGATCTTGGCAGAAAGCAAAGAGTACCAGAGGAATGTCTATTTGTGTTTCATTGACTATGCAAAGGCATTTGACTGTGTGGATCACAACAAATTTTGTCTGACCTTGAGGAGAATGGCAATCCCAGAACACTTGATTGTGCTCATGCAAAACCTCAGAACAGAACAAGGAAAAACTGCCTCGTTCAAAGTCAGCAAAAGAGTGCATCAGGGATACATTCTATCTCCTTATTTGTTCAATTTATATGCAGAACAGATAATTCAGGATGCAGGCTTTATGAGAAGAAATATGGCATAAGAATTGGAGACAGACTCATCAACAACTTAGGTTATGTGGATGAAACAACCTTACTTGCTGAAACTAAGGAGGACCTGAAGT